ATTTGGTGAAACACTTCCGACCGATCACTGAGTAAGGCTTTGGAGGCGAAGAACTCTTTTCCTTTAATAACGAGTCGACAGTCGTTGAGCTCTTTGTTATTAAAACTGTTGCCTAAAAGGCATTTCTTTTTATTACCGTGCATTGTCTTATATGTTGTTAAATCGTATATTATTACAAGACAATTATTGGGCAAAAACTTACTTTCATTGTGAAACATTTCATTATAGTTAACACATGCAACAGAGCGATCACTCACTCTATAAGTGAAACGTTTATTTCTTAATTTCACTAATTTTTGATCATTAATTCCTTTAATATACATTATAAACGATGTATTAACTGTTGGAGTGCAGCAATTAACTAGTTCAATATAAATATTTATGTAAGTCTCAGAACCAATATGTTCTATTTCTGCACCAACTATCCATTGATCTAGTCCAATAGTAATAATTGGACTTTTAATGTCATATTCTATGTTAATAGCACTGATAAAGTTATTGATAGTGAATACAACTTTTGTCTTATAAATCAATTCATGTTGTTTAGGTAACCCACCGGAACTTCGGCGGGCGAGCTGTTTAGACATTGTTTCTATAAATATAACATTAAAAACATAATATTAATCTACAATTAAAATGCAAATAAAACGTAAATTTTATTTTGTTTGTTATTGCACCCCCGTTTGTTCAATTTATAGTCAAAATAATACTAAATTCCTATCCATTTTAGTGTTGTAGTTGTAAATGAAATATTTAATTAGTTTTATAATAAAATTCTTTTCAAATAATGATTTATGTATTACGAGTATGTATGTAAAAGAAAGGCAATGAAAATGTCGTGAAGAGTGAAATTAATGTTCAACAAAAATATATTATATTTGTGTCCGATTATTGTTTTTTAAACAGAAATTGTCAGTCAATGAATAGATATATAAATCAATTAAAGCGTTGGAGAAGAGCAACAAAAACTTATTCTTTAGTTTCTCATATAAAATATAGCATTCATTAGACCCAAAGTCTCGTACTTTCTCTATCTATAGCCTATCCATACCCTTTCGTTGTCTAAAAGCACCCAAAAGTTCGTTAAATAATGATAAGTTGTCGGGACTTTTAAAACACGCGATTTATTACAACTCTGTATAACTATTACTGAGAAACGACTCACAAATTCTCCAATTTTTGTCTACAATTTTTGAATTAAAGTATATTTTTAATGAATAGATGAATAACACAGACTTAAAAAAAACATTTTCAATGACTAGAAAAACATTACTATAAATAATAAGCATTGCTTTGAGAATATGTCAGGAATTGAAGTAGAAATAATCTACAGATTCTATACAACACTGTAAGCAATAGTTATATTAATTGGATTATACAGTGATATACAGATAAAAATATCAGAGAAAACTAACTCCTATTATGGAAACACTGCAAACAAATAGTGTGTATAATATATTAATACATTATATGATGTGTTTTTTCTCTAATCAATATCAATATAATGTTTGGTGTTCGTAATCAACAAATTGGTATTGTAGTAAAAATTACAATAAGTTAGAAACGACTCATTTGAGTATTGGCTTCAAATATATGTTTTTGTATTAAATTAAATATAAGATGCAATGAAGCGGTGACTGAGAGTAACAAAGTTTGCCTTTATTGATGAAAATGGTGTCAAAAACAGTGAGATTTTGAAGAGAAAGACTGCTAAAAATAAAAATTTTTCTCGAAGCCGTTAGAAGTGTTGTTCAAAATGGTCTCAATGTATGACTCATAGAGAAAGTGAGGCGAGATATGCAGTCAAGTGTGCGCCCATTGCTATTGCTTTAGATCAGGGATGCGGGGGATGAAGGGATGCTGATATTGCTGCCTATCATAGGTATTACTGACGAATGTGATATACAAACAGAGAGAGAGAGAGAGAGAGAGATCCGCTTTTGGGACAAATAGTTATTTAACTTCAATTCAATGCTTTAATAATAAAATTTTTCAATTACCTTTCTCGGAGCACGAATTACGGGTTGCGTGGGCTTCCTCGTGGCCTGTCGTTCATTACACACTTTTATAACAAATATATATTCTTCTTTAGTTAAAACTTTTGGGTCAATTTTGACCAAAATTTCATACATGTTTAAAAATACAGAAATTATACTATTTATATACCAGGATCATTTGTATTACTCAATAGTAAATGCGCTTAACTTGGTGCTGGTTGGCTAAAATGCCAGCTACAATTTTAGCTTTGAATAATGTAGTTTATAAAATCGTTCTGCCCCCCCCCAAAGTATGGACATTGTCCAACTCCAAGGCTAACGGTCAATACAATTATTTTAAAACCTTAGAATTGACACACCTATATATTGCACAATATCATATATTGTGTTTATTCATTCATTTCTAATCCTTTTTCAATGTCTAATTCTTAGATTTTTGACTAAACATTTATTTCAAAGATCTATGAGTTTTGTAACGAGTTTTGAATTGTTAGACATTTATTGCACTTTCAAACACACCTTAAGTCACATTTGATTTTAAATTTGACAATAGATTTCTATGAATCTCAAATTGCTTTGAGAATAACTTGTAATATCAGTCTATCGGCTCTTTGAATGGATGTTATGAATAGTACACCGATTACTACACTAAGTATTTATACGTATATATCGTTCGCTTCAACGTATATATACTGTTAATCATAAATATATGTTATAAAAGCGTTTAATACAATATTGCGATAAAGCAATTAAAGCACACATTCATAGATAAAACCCGTGGACTAAATGTGTGTTCAGTTTGTGTTGTCTATCGGTATGAATTGATTATACATTCAAATCAGTTATTTATGAGTAATTTGTTTGTGTTTACAACAAATCGCGTACTTTCGCCGATCGACTAACACTTGAGTCGGCCAAACAGTATATATTTGTCGGATTCACGAAATATTTGAAATATTTGGTCTCAATCTTCACTCTTGTCTTCCATAATGTTTGGTTTGGCCACAATCCGTGTCCACACATGTAGTGTTCATTGAAAATGTTGATTAGAACTCGTTTCAAGTCTATTATTATATCATTTAATTGTAATTAATATTAATATATATTTTTAATAATCTATTGAATAGTTTTCAATATTAATATATTTTTCTACTGTCATTGAATTTAAGCCACAATTTTCTCGTCTCTATATCTTTTCGTTATATAATTTTCGTATTATTTTTAAAACTTATTTAATATTTAGCTTTAAATCTAGTATTGATTTGAAATATTCTATATTTTATACACAATTATTATATAAAAGTTTTTGAAATTTTAATTTTAAAGTTTAAAATCGTATCAAAAAATATATACAGTTTTTGAATATGTTTTTTGTGCGTTTAATAAGTATTTTATTTGTGATAATAAAAAAGTTTGTCACTTTTGAAATCATTAAATAATAATAATATTTAATAAGATTTTAAAATACAAAAAAAAGGACACAAAATATAGTGACTAAACAAGCGATTGATTGCGAGATGCAATTGAAGTCAATTCAGTGTTTTATAACATTAATAGTGTTTGCAATGAAACCGACGTTTAGTTCAATAAATGGCAAAAAGATTCTGAAAAATAAAATTATTTTATTGTGATATGAATGTGACGAATACTCCATAGAAATGATGACAACAATCAAAACCTAAACACAATTGTATTGTAAAACAAGTAATAAAATGTATTTAAACTGTAATAATAGGTACGCCGGGTATAAATGCACATTTTACGGGTTGGATCGTACAGATGGTGTCCGTTGAATGCAATACTATCTATTTCAAAGCGATACAAGTTTTTATGGTTCTAGAATTCACAAGAAAAAACTAACAGCGTTACAATAGGTATTAGGATACAATAGGGGTGGGAGGGTAGTGAAAACTATAGAAAGGATAGACTGATGAAATGGGTAACAGATCTAATAGCTGGTGGCTAATTGTTATACATAATACAACTTTTACAGTTTTATAACTACAATAAATTTTGTGTAATATTATTTAAGTTAACAATAGTTGTAAATTTATTGTAAACTGACTGAACGTGTATTGAATGCAAACGATTGGATAAAAAGGTGAAAACTGCTCTTCTTTTACAACAAAAAAAGTTTATGAAAAGTATTTCCAAAACATTTGAAACCAAAACTCAATTCAATATATACCCACTCTTTGAAAGCGAATGTTGTGTTGAAAATGAGTGACAAACTTCAACAAGAATTACAACATTTGTGGGAGTTATGTGAATGTTTGGAAGATATTAAGCAAAAATCATTGCTTTTAATAAACAATTGTAAATGTAATCAAAATATTGAAATATTTCACGATTTGATTAAATTTGAGAAAATTTATCATTCGTTGAAAAACACACAAAATGTTAACACAATTGGAATCTCTGAGCCAACAGGTATTTGTATTTAAATTATTTTGATTATGTGTAAATACATTATTATTATTTTTATTTATATTTTTATGTTAAGCTTTGATTGAAAATTCAACCAATATTATTGAACATAATATCGTGTCCATTGAGTTACATAACACAAGTAATGTATGCCCCGTACCGATGTGCGAACAATATTGCCTTACAATGGAGGGGTTTTGGACACACATGGTTAACAAACATCCAGGCATTCGTATTAAGTTTCCGGAAACTTTTAAATGGTTTATTTGCCCGCTGATTGGGTGTGATAAGCGTTATGTTTCCTAATATTACTTAAACCAACATATAGATTATTGGAAACATTAATCTTTATTTAAGTGAATGCTATTTTTGTGTTCAATTAAATGTAATTTTCATTTAACAATTTCATTACAAACTGATTTTACTTTAAAATTGTAAACTTTTAAAATTAATTATAATTTGATTTAAAACATTTATTTCTATTTTATTAAAATTTATATTTTAATTCAATATTTTGATTTCAATTAATACATTTTTGGTAAATTTGTTATATGAATTTATAATTTGTATAAACACTTAAAATTTATTTTCAAATAAGTCCTTTTTGTTGAGAAACAATATGACCGACGAGTTCTCGAAGTACTCGCAGGCGATGAGCACTTTGAACAGAGCCAACGATTCCTCCATACGGTTCTGTTCGCACAAACTGTTGTTTCCCTCAACCAATCGCTGGTCGTATTCGTTGAGCGCCGCCAAGAATATAATGGACGTCACGTTCTCGAAGCAGTGGATCCACTTTCGCCCGACGTCCACCACTCGGAAGCGCACCGAACGTAACTCAAACGTGTATTCATTGATACCGGTTGTCGGTATGCAGACGTGTAGTATGTCTTGTTTGGTGGGCGTGTAGTCTCTGGCGGACAGTCTGTCGATGTCGTCGAAGTAATACTTCGCTGAATCACTCAATTTATACTCGTTTCGGCGTTTGTAGCACTTCTGCACTCCCGAGTCGTCCCACCACTCCTTTATGGCGGCCACCGTTTGATCGGTGAGTTGTGTCAAGTGATTGGTCGTGTAGTCGACGTGAATGTCGGCCAAGAACTTGGAGTTACAATAATTCAACTCATTATCGTAGCGAATATCCAAATCGCACATCGCGTTAATAATGGCCTGAATTACGACCACAATGTTGTGGTAGACGTACGGCACGTAACGCTTCCTCTCGGTTTCCAACTCGAGTTTGGCGTCTTTATGAATGATTCGCATTTGTTTCAAGAATGTACTTTTGCCCGACTCTCCCGTTCCCAGCAATAGTAGCTTCAGCTCATTCTTCGCCTCCTTCTTCGCCCTCTTCAGCGACAGTTCAATCATTTTATTCATCTTTTCTGCTCTTTGGAGTGACTGATGTCATCACAACACGAGAACATCTTTGCGATCACCCAAAGGATCAGTCAATCTACGTCTCAAACAATTATGTTATTTATTATTCACTCACAAACACCGCAAAAAAGCATCAAAAATTTCACACTAAAAGTCCTTCAAATTATTTAAATTATTATTTGTTAAAAATCAATTAATAAATCACAATAATTATAGTTGTAAACGAAATGTTGAAAAACACTATTATATCAATCGGTTGTGAAAACAAAAAACAAATTTCAGTGTAATTTTGCGTAAAAATTGATTTTTTATAAATAGTATTCTTTAATTTGATTGTGATTTGAATTTTAAAATAAATCACTTTGTTTTACAGACAACTTTTTTCAGTCTATTTGCGTATTTAAAGTCATTGATATACACATTAGGCGTGAATTTATATATTTATAATACAAGCCACACTTACACCATGAGCAATTTTAATAGTATGAACAAGGTTATTTAAATGATATTTAAATTAAGCAATTAAAATAGCGCTTCTTATACTACAAAAGTATTCACAACTGATGTATTAGACTGATTTCTGACATTTTTTTGTCAAAATTTATTATTTATTTTTATAACACATTAAATAGAAATTAATTACTTTTTGACGAATTACTGAAGCATTAAATTACCAAACGTGACAAAGTATTCAAAACATTTTAATCAAAATTTTAATATTTATATGTATTTATAATTATTTATAATAATTGCGATTTTTTGTTTGTAATAGTTTTTTATAATATATCAGATAAAACTCAAATTTCTTAAAAATTTGCCATTATTTGTAAATTATATTCATATGTTATCCTAATGTTTTAATAATAATATTTTTAATTAATTATTAGTTTATAATTGTAATGGATTTAGGATTTGTTGTTCTGACCCGTCGCCAGATTTTGTTTGAGCTGTAAAAGTATTGATCGCATTCTTGTCGTGTCTTTCGTATTTCGGGTCTATTTGGGATTAAAATCACACATTTTCGCTATTTTCTCTTATTCCTGTCCCGCGACCTCTGTATCCCTTTCGGCCACTTATTCATTCTCAGCATTTCTTCAGCAAACAAAACAAATACAATTAATTGTTATCAAAACATATCATTACAACATTTAATACAACTTTTGACAGCATATCAAAGAGTATGGAAAGCATTCTCTAATCAACTAAACACTACAACAATGTGTTTGTATCTAAAACTGTTATACAAGACATAGTAATGATGGCTTACTTACCCGCTCAGCCAGTCAAACAGACAGCAAATCACAATCAGTTTCAGCAAATTAATACTTGGAATCAAAGCTCAGAAAACCAAATGTTACCGCAATATCACCAAATGTCTGCACCTCAACCACAGGTGCAAATGCAAGCACAGCAACAGCACTGGAATCAGATGCAGAATCAGCAACAGTTTCAAACACAACAACAGCAGCAACCACAACAACAACAGACCTGGAATTACCAGAATCAACAGTATATGAACCAAAACCAATATTAACAGCAGTACATCAATCAATACTTAAGTGTACTACAGATCCAATGGCAACAAAATCAGATGAGATTTAGACAACAGTTTAACCAAAATAACAATATACTGAATAACGTGACAAACATTGCCAATAATGCCATTACGCCGACCGGTGGTGAGCCAATGACGACCAACAATTGTCAGCTACTGGAACGATTGCAACCCAAACTCAGATACCACCCCTACCACACCACTGCCTCCAATCCAAGTTTATTCTGTGCCAACCAATTTCAACATCACATCCAATAATTGCAATACAAATAATACTCGCAACAAGTTTAGGGCGCCATCCGTTCCGATGCTAACGCCGTCGACGCCGGCTTCCGTCCAGATAATGTCACCGCAAACACCGATGCAGACGTCGTCCTCATCCGTGTCGATGATGTCACCGCCGGTGGCTAAACCACAGCTGAGTCCCAATCAAAATACTAATAGTAATCCACTAACCAGTTCGATGAAACCAATGCTCAATAATGCAAACGCCGCAAACATTGCAAAATGTATAATAAAATCAAACATTAAATACCTATTATTTAGATTCGACTTTTCGAGCTGTTCCGCGTATCACGCGTACCACTTCTCGAGTTCATGTTTGGCCGTCTGTTTCAGCTCTTCTTTGCGTACACTCTCTTCTCTGTCCTTCACCTCAAGAAGTCTGTTCTGCTCTTCCCTCCACGTCTTGATCTTCTCGGGCTCTTCCTTCAGCTCCACCTCTCGTATGGTATCCGACGACTCGTGAGACGAATTGATGGCATTGTTTGTAATGACATTCATGTCGTTGTAGTAACCGTTAGGCAGATCCAAACCGTTGTCACCAATCATTTTGTCCAAAAACTCATTTGAATAATCGCCGTTGAATTTTTGCGACTGTTCTTTAGGATTAACCAGTAATTCAAAGTCGTCCTCGAGTTCTGGCAAAACATTCTGCTCTCGGGCTAAGAAGTCGGCCGCCGGGTTTTCACTCGTCACTGACATCACTGCTGTTATCGTTGGATCAATAAAATACAAAAACGCATTCAATGTTCATGTGTTTCGCATCACAAGAATGCAGTACAAGTTTATTATGAAAAAATATTAAATTGTTTATCATTTATAAATAAAGACATTTGAATGACAGCCGAAACAACAATCATTTGTTTGTGTCATTCCGAATAGTCTGAAAGGCGTAAGAAATTTGAAAAAATCTATATACAAAAAAACAGTTTGAATAATAACAACAATTATAATAATCGATAATTACATTAATTTGTTATGTATTAATTGTCATACATAGACAGGAGACCTGTCCGGTATCATTGCTATTGTTGGAACTGTTGCTATTACTGAGTTTGATGGGATAGACTTGTCCTCCGCCGTCAAAGGATCGCCGGAATGTGAACTCAAAGCGGAACGCGTGTCGGATGTTTGCTGTTTTCCGAGTAGTGGCCATTCATTTGGTTTATGTAGTCGTAGTCCTCGCGCGACAGCATATCATTGGACGTGCCGTTGGAGTTGAACTTGTCGTCGATCTCATTAAAGTTGGAAGTGTCCGTTTCGGACTTGATCTCTGGCACATAAAGCGCCACTCGTGTCCTCAACTCACTATCAAAGTGTATGCCCTTAAGACCGAGTGCTTCTTGATATCGTTGGCAATGCTCTTCCGGTCCGCAACACAACTTCTGTATCAAATCGGAAGCGTTTGTGGAATATTTGCGGTCCTTTGGTATACGCAATGTTTTGTCCCAATGGATGACCTGGTTATATACATAACGGCATAAGCGATCAAAATATTGTAAACTTGTAATCAATTTTGTTTCTCTCGATAATTAATGAATGCATCGAAACATACTTTGTTTTGAGTTTCTTCGGGTGTCTTTGCATTGAAAGGAGGAATGTCTACAATAATATCATAAAGGATAACGCCAACACTCCATTAGTCGCACAGTTGGGTATAACTCGTTCTCGTCATTATCGAAATGCTCAACGTATTGAACAGGTCTTCCAACACTCCACTCATTAACATTGACTCGTTATTGATCGGCAAATATTTGAATTTGATTTAATAGTCTATCGGAGAACCAGTCGTTGGTAGCGATGCCCCCGTAGACTAACATCTGGCTCATCTTCGCGATGACCCTCTCCATGACTTTTCACTTTATGATTCTTTATGTCAATATTCTTTTGGTGCGTTTTACTCAACTCATCATAAATGGCGTAAATATAATGTTTGTTTGTTGTTTAGGTTGTATTTTCTGTGTGTCCGCTAACAGTGAGTGAATGGTGGGCTGTATTGAAGATCTCATTACCAGTCATTTAATTAGACGAAACATTAAAATTCATCGCAAGAAAGTTCATCGATGGTAACCGTCATAATATGGAGGCTATCTATTTGATAGGCGCTTGGTTTTCATACTTTGCTATCTTGACTTTATACCCGTTTAATAATATAATATAACTTAATATATATAACACTAAAAGCAACGATTCATTTGATTATATAAACGCTATTTAATATTGAACGCTAACCTCACGGCCGTATCACGTCATGTCTTAGTGGACACGTGTAGTAACGAGTGGCACACATTCAGCTCAAACACATTCTGGAGCGGCCGCGGTGTGCAACTTTTGTCACAAGACATTTGTCGTCAAACGGTGTGTGTGTGTGTAATTGGCCCGCATGTGAACACCGTATCGGCAGCAATGATAAGCTCGTGGACCACATGAACACAGATCAGGACCTACAAGTGGTTGAGTGTCCGGTCTAGGGTTGCGATAAGACATTCACCTGTAAGCCATCGGTTAAACAACATTTAAAACAAGTCCATAAATATAAGACCATTGAAGCATTTATGCCTTACAATAAATGAATTGTAATTTTTGTTATATTGTGAAAATTGTTTAATATTTTTGTTTAAATGTTAACTATTATAATGTAATTAATGTTAATAATTATTAAATAAATGAAATCGTTTTTAAATAATTTTTATTACATTATTTTATATAATAGTGTACAAAATTAAAAATATAAATAAATTATTGTACAAATATGTTACAGAATAGTTATTTTAAAAATATTAATTTGAAATGTCATAATATTTATAGTAAATTATTTTATATTTGGAATTAAATTAACACATTTTAACAGTTTTACAGTTTTAATATTAGAAATAGAATATTATCAAATATGTGTTATTCACAATGTTTATGATAACACACTATTTATTAATTATATATTCTGATTGATATTCAAAATTTATAACCAAGTGGTCACGATTTTTGTGTTTATATAAATTTGATTTTGCTGCAAACTGTTTGTTACAATCATTGAAATTACAAACAAATGGCTTTTCTCCCGAATGAATAATTTTGTGTTGAATTAAATTGTATTTCGTAAAAAACAATTTACCACAATCTTCTTTTTCACATTTGAATCTTTTAATCTTTAAATGAACACGAT